GCACGGCCCTGCCTGCGTCTCCCTGAGGCGGTGGCAGGGGAGGCTGGAGAGGGGCAGTGGGTGCCGGTACCTCACCTGCAGGAGGTGAGGGCGGGCGGCCCTCCCGGCTCTAAGGTGCTCTGGGTGGGGAGGGTCTGCCGGCTCATCCTGGCGGTCAAGGGCAGGTGACTGTGACCCCTGGACATGGTTGAGTCATTTATTCACTCGTTCCGGTGGTCACCTGTAGCCAGGCCCCAGGGTGTGCCCAGCGGTGCCTGTTGGCTGGGTTGGAGGAGGAGCCCCCAGGCCATAGCCTGTGACCTGGAGGCTGGGGGTCCTTGGGGTGCCTTCCCACGGGCGGCAAGGGCAGGACCCAGGCCCAGGTGTGGGTGTCTACACCCGAAGGTGTGGATGTCCCTCTGGAAGGCGCAGCCTGTGGCTGCAGGGGGTGGGTGGGGTGACACCGTGGGGCCATCTCTGGCCCAGGAGGGACTTCACTGGTGGATCTAATCGGGCAGGTGAGGGTGGGCTCACAGGAGCCCCGGGGTGGGGTGGGGAAAGGCCACTCTTCTCCTAGCTGCGGCCTTGGGGCGTCTGGGAACACAGCAACAGCGTTTCACGTCTGCTTTGGAAAGTCACGGAAGAACGTCGGGCACATAGGGGCCTGGGAAGCCTGGGCTGGGTCTGCCCACTGCAGGCCTGGCACTCCCAGGCACCGAGGGGCTCCCCGGTATTGCACGGCTCCCTGTGCCTCAGTTTCCCCTCTGTAAGGGGTGGCTCTCAGAGCCTGTGCTAACGAGGTCTCCTCCCAGGAGTGGCCCTGATCTGCTGCCCGAACTGGGTGGTTTAGGGCCACCTGGGTCCTCAGGAGACCCCACGGAGAGTGGACAGGAGGCCGCCTGGCATGAGGTCAAAACTGAGTGGCGGGCGGGGCGAAGCCCTCGGGCCTCACACCTCCCTGGCCGGTCAGTTGTCCACTGGGTCCTGCAGATGAGCGAGGATATCTGATTAAGAAATGGCTTCTTGTCACCACCCCCTGTCCTGACTGCCCCTCTCCAGAGAGCCTCTCCAGGGGCCCAGAGAAGCCCGACCGTCCCTCCAATGCGCGGGGCCTGTCTGCCTGCACCCCAGCACCCCGGGGGGCCTCTCCTGGCGGGCCTCCTCTTCCCAGCTGCCCATCCATCTCTGGCCTGTCACTGCCATTGTCCGGCCAGGGGCTGGGTTGAGGGCTGGCCTGGGGGTGAGTGCGCTGCGCCCCGGCCCCGAGCCTAGGGGTATGATGTGACGGCTGCCCAGGCTGTCTCGGGGGTGGCCAGGCTCCCGGCCTAGGGCATCTCGGCTCCGCCTGGCGGGGGCTGCTCACCCCATGGCCACGTGGCCGCCACTGGCTGTGCCAGGAGAACCCCCAGAGCGACGTGTGCCCTCGCGGGGGGCTGAGAGGGCGTGGCCCCCTGGAAGAGAGATGCCGGCCGGGGGGCACTGCTGTGCTGTCTGCTGAGCGGGGAGCCGCCGCGCAGGCCGCTGCTGACCTTGCCCTCGGCGCCCTGCCCGGGCTCTGTGAGGCGGGAGCTGCGAGGCCTGCAGCCCCGAGAGGTCGGGGCTCTGCCGCTGACCTGGCCCTGCCAGGTGACCCCATCCAAGAAGGGCCGCTCCCCTCTAGCCAGCCCCAGCCTGGGCCCCTGCGCTGCACCGCCACGCATCTCTCCGCGTCCCCGAGAGCCCCTCTGACCTGCCGGCTTGGGCTACGGGAAGGCCCACACCTGCTCAGAAAGGCCACCTGCCCCAAGGACTGGACGCTGGCGGGGTGTGGGGCTTCCAGCGTCCTGGGGGGACGCGCTGAATGACAGGCTTTGGTCTCAGCACCCCGCCCTGTCCACGCCCGGGAGGCAGCGGGTGCAGCCCATGGAGGAGTCTCAGGTGGACGCCTGTGAGCCCTCAGCCTGGACTCCAGCCGGGGAAGGGCGCTGGGACCAGGCTCCCGTGGGCCCTCTGGGGCGGGAGGCCAGGAGGCAGGGTCTGGGGGTCCAGCCTCCTCCACCTTGGCAGTGGGGGCATAGGCAGGCCCCATCCAACCCCCTTGGGTGTCTCGTTGGGATGCTGGGGGTGGCCCAGGAGGGCACAGAGGCAACTGAGGGAAAGGGGCCTGGGGTTTGGGGGGGCCCCAACCAGCACCAGCGGTCTGGGTGGGAGTGGCTTGTGCCGTGACCTCAGCGGGGCCGCAGGTGGGTGGTGGCGCCACCCATGACTGGCCAGGACCTCATCTTTAGCCATCCACACGGCCAGGGCTGAGTGCCCTCGCCCCGCTCCTTGAGCAGGTGAAAAAACAGCAGCTTGTTTGCAAGGTCGGAGGTCAGCACGTGGGCCCCTGTGCCGCCAGGCCCCACTGCACAGGGGGGTCGGGAAGGGCTGGGGGCTGGCGGTTCCCAGAGGGGCCTGGCACTCAGAGGTCAGTGGGAACGGAGGCTGTTTGTCGAGCCTCGGCTGCCACAGCACGCTCCGGGCCCAGCTGCCGGGACCTGCTGACCCGAGTCAGGCCGGTTTCAGCTCACCCGCTCCCAGGCCCCCAGGGCGGGTGGAGCTGAGCGAGGGTGGGGGCGGCAGGAACCCAGGGGGGTGCAGGGGCCAGAGACAGGCCCTAGGGAGAGGGGTGTGGGGAGGCAGGTCCCCGGTGAGCGAGGAAGGGGCCCCAAACTGGGGGCTGGCTGGGGGTGCAGGACACCCGCTCTGCACGGGTGGACAGGCTGGGACAGATGTGGGGCTGCCCCACTGTCACACCTGCCCGCCCCACTCTGTCACAGTGCCGCCGACACCTCCTTCGGGGTGCTGGGTATGGCACTGTCCATGGCACTGTCTGCTCTAGGCTTGTGCCATGCCCTTGGTGTTTGATGTGACGGGTGCTGCCTGGGCACCTGGTGGGGCAGGCCTTGAACCAGACGCCCCTGGGGCCCAGCTCTCCAGGGTGCCCCACCTGGCGGGGGCTGTGCCTGCTGGCAGCCAGGGCCAGGTGTGGGTGTAGGGAGAAGCCGTGTGGGGGTGTCAAGGGCTGGGGTGCAGCTCACAGGCCTCACCGCTGGGCCCGGGACATGGGGGCCTGGGCCGTGGGGGCAGCGAAGGCAGTGGGGGTTGGGGGTGGCTCGCTCTGGCTCCAGGGCGGGGCTTGAGGCAGGCCCAGGAGAGGCGGCAGGTGCCCCAGAGTTCACTTGGGCCAGGCAGGGGGTGCAATGGAGCGGAAGTGCCCAGAACCAGGCACCACTGGGCAGTTTGTCTGGAGGCCTTTATTAGGCACCTACTGTGTGCCGACCTGGACCCGGTCTCCAGCACCCTCTCCCCGGCCCGTGCACGCCCTGCTCTCCCAGTTTCACAGGCAGGTCAGGGATGGAGGCGAGGGCCTGGCTCCGGGACGGGACACCTCAGGGTGGGCAGACACAGCCTCAGAGGCCCACCCCTGCGGCGGAGCCCGGCTCCCCAGAGGTGCCTGCCGGCTCCCCAGAGGGTCCCCAGCCGCCCCACCCTGGCCTCCAGCAGCTGCTCCGGCACCCACTGGACGCTGGGACCTCAGATCGGGAGCCGGGTGGGAGACAAAGGCCGGGCTGTGGACACACTCGCGGACAGGGCCAGCGCGAGCAGTCAGGCGGCCGGGGAGGCCCACAAAGGCCGTGAGGGCGGGGGAGGGGCGCGCATGGGCCCGCTGCACATGCCAGCGTTGCCCGGGCAACGGCCCTCTCCCGGAGGGGTCTGCCGGGCCATTGTCGGGGCGCACAGGACGTGTCACACACCAGATGGCCGTGTGCCGTCTAAGTCAGTTATCCGGACAGAGTGAAGGAATGCGGCCGCGCGGCGGCTGGGCGCCATCTGCCCCTCAGGCCGGGCACCGGGCGGCTCGGAGCGCCCGCCGGCCGGCCCAGCCTCCACCGCCGGCTTTAATTAGCTAATTCCACGATTGGGCTTTATTTCAGGTAAATTGCATTTCACACCCGAGAGGGCCCCAATGGCCCGTCCAGGATGACGCGCTCCGGCGCTGCGTGCAGAGGCCATGAGACGGGAGACAAAGGCCGCGGGCGCGGGGCGGCCGGCCCAGAGGGCTCGCTGGCTGGGCCGGGGTGCCGGGCGGGAGGGGGCGTCACGCAGGGCCCTGCTCTGCAGCCAGCCGCTTCCTGGGGTTCCACAAATATTTACCCAACAAGGAAACAACAGCTTCTGCCTTTCCAGTAATTGTTGCTCCTGCCCCGCCCCCTGCTGGGGCCGCCCCTCCCCCTCCCGCACGCACTCGGTGCCAAGGCCCCAGGTGGGAGCCAGGCTGGGGCAGGGGCACACCCCGCAGGCCTTAGCAAAGGTGGGACCCAGGGCTGGCCTCCCACAGGGACTGGGGGTCACTCACTCGGGGTGCCCGGCCTGGGGGCTTGGGCTGGGCTTGGAGTGGGCAAAGCTGGGAAGCAGCCCCGAAATGTGAGGTGTGGTCGCGACTCGCACCCCTGGCTGCCTGTGCCAGTGAGCGGAGTGGGGGCTTGGTTGGGGTTGGGTGGGCCGAGGGGCACCGTGTCACTGGCGGGAAGTGAAGCCGGGGGCGCCGGCACACATGGAGGCACCACACTGGGTGTCAGTGGGTGCCAGGCTTGGGCAGCAGCCCAGGTGGGTCTGGAGGTGGCGTGAGCACAGGGTGGCTTGTCAGGGCTGACGGCTCCCAGGCCACCTCTGCTGCCTGAGGGGTCACGGCCTGAGGCCTGCCTTGTGCAGCGAGTTTTGGGGGGCGCAGAACATTCTAGCTGAGATGGGTGGTGTCTGCACCGGTGGCCTGCTGGGGTCGGGGCACGGGTGGAGCCCTGTGGCTGTGCTGGCCAGGGCAGGACGGGGCAGGCCCCACGGTGCCCCTGCCACCCTGGAGAGACCCCGTTCCCAGCACCCGGCTCAAGGGGCTTCTCCCCGACCTGGATGCAGAGGGAGGGAGTCCTGGGAGGGGACGTGGACCCTGGAGATGGGCAGCGCGGACCCCCACGGTGGCCAGAGCAGCACCCGCTCACCCTGTGAGTCCGTGTTTATTAGGAAAAGACCGCGGAAGCGAAATCAGTCACCCCGTGAATCTCACTAGAACAGGTCCCGATCACTACGATTATCCCGATTTCTGTGGCGAGGCCCGAGAGCCCGGCCCGCGGCTGGTGGCAGAGGTGTGGCACGGCCGAGCCCCATCCGGCTGTTCGGGCCAGGCAGGCGGTGGAGGCGGGCGGCGGGCAGAGCCGGGCCTCTTCTCTCCAGGATGGGAAGGAGATGCTGTCGTCCAAGGTGGGGCCTGTGCACCCCCTTTTGCTGGGGGATCCCCAGGGGAGTTCTGGGGACAGTGCTCCCCCTGGCCCCATTGGCGTCCACAGCCGCCTCACCAGCCTGCGTGCCGACAGTCGTTGGCATCTCCCGAGAGCGGAGGTGCTGGGGAGTCTGGCGGCCTGGAGCACGGGCTGCCTTTATCCAGCCCGGACTGGGCCTGCCCTGCCGCTGCCCACATGCTGGACTTGCGTCTGGGGGCACCCAGGCTGTACCCAGGTGTCCACACGTGGGATGGGCCCAGTGCCCGGGGCAGCTAGCTCCGGGGGACAGCCTGACTCCACGAGCCATGCAGGGGGCCACTGCCTGAGCGCCGAGCAGGCCCTACACCTGGCCAAGTTCCAGTGCCCACGTGCCAGAGGGGCAGCCTCGGCACGCCCAGCACTGGCGTGGCGGCCTGGGGCGGAGGCTACCCCCTTGGCCGCGAGGAGGTGGTCCCGGCCTGGTGGGTGGGGGTGGGGTGCCCCCTCAGGCCCCAGCCCAGCGCCATCAGGACCCCTCATCGGGGCCCCGGTGGGGCACGGTCAGCTGTTCGTAGGTGGGCAGAGCGTTGCTGGGCAGGCAGAGCCCGGGGTGGTTGGAGCCGGGCTGGAGTGCAGGGGTCCCCGCCCCACTTGGGGTCCGGCCGGCCAGGGGGTCCTGGTGGAAGGCCAGCAGCTGGTGCAGCATGTCGGTGATGAGCACCAGCCTTTGGTCCAGCTGCGTCACCTGTGGGGGCAAGCAGAGGGTGAGCGGACCGCGGTCGGGGGATGGGCCACGCCCCCCAATCCCCCGTGGCCTGGTGGGGCTCCTCCCTCTGCCAGGGCTGGTCCCTCACAGGGGTGGAAGCACCACCTGCCTAGCCAAGCCTGGGTGCTGGGCCCCAGGCCCCCCTGAGGTCTCCTAGGTCACCGGCCCTACCTCGTACTTAGCAAGGGACTCGCTGTGCTGAGCACCCGGGCGGCCCCGAGAGGCCAGAGGGGCAGCTGACCCTGGACAGCAGGTCCAGCAGAGGCTGCGGATGGCCTGGGGGAAGGGCTGGTGACGGGGGTGGGGGGAAGGCCGGCGAGCTCTCTGAGCAGGTGCAGGGTCCCCGGGCCCTGGGCGCCGTCCCACCAGGAGGTCAGTCAGGAGGGGGTCTGGCATGAGCCAGGGTCTGGGCTGACGTGTGGCCCCTGGTGCCCAGGGGGGCCTCCCCTGAGAGCCAACAGACAAAACAACTATTGCGTCCCCCACCCCCAGCACCCGGAGCACCAGAAAAACTCGAGCCGGTGGAGGAGGGGAGGAGAGATGGTCACCGATAAGGGCAGGGCAGGCACAGGGCGGCCACAGGGCAGGGGGTCAGCAGTGTCCATTGCGGGGGGCACAGCAGGCAGAGCCAGCAGGCCGGGCACCCTCCAGATACACAGGCGGTGATGGCATCTGTGCCCAGAACCCTGGCCCCTCTTCCAGGACTGGGGGGCTGGGTGCTGGCGGGATGGCCCTCGGAGATGCTGGGGGAAGTGGCCACAGCCCCGTGTGGCTAAAGCCCAGTTTGCCGGGATCCCCAGGTGGGCAGGCGCGGGGTCAATCACCCCTCCCCCCGAGAGTGGGCGTCGAGCCGGAGGGGACGGGGTGGCTGTGGATGACACGAGCAGGGGCCGTGACCAGGTGCCTAAGGCTCCAGCTTGTGGCTGATCACCTGGAAGGCCCAACCCGGCCCACACCCACCCCACGCACACCCTGAGGCTCAAGGAGAGGCCTCGCTCAGCCCTGCCCGGGGCCATGCTGGCAGGGCCGCCGGGGTGCCAGCTGCTGGGGAGCTGGCAGGAGCGTGGTGGGGCTGAGCTCAGAGGCGAGGGGACAGGGCACGTCCTGTCGCTCCCAGCCCCTCAGCCCCGGCGGCTCCCGCCCGGAGGACCGGGTGACACGCGCGAGCAGCCCCGGGCGGGCGGGTGTCCTGGCCTGGACGGTCCCCGTGGGTATCGGCACCAACACGTCGCGGGAGGAGCCGTGGCTCCACGCTGGGGCATGGGCCGGGCCCCCAGGTGTGCGGGGGTGGAGGGGTCCCGCGGCCTCTCCAGGGCACGGTCTAGAGAGCGGGCCTGGCGGGGCAGGGGCCGTGGACGCGGGTGGAGAAGGGCCGGTCCCGGCTGCCCGCGGCGAGAGCTGCTTGCGGCGCACCTGGCCAGCCATGGGGGTGGGAGCAGGCGCCGAAGGGCGATTCTGAAGCTGCCTGAGAGGCCGTGGCCCTCGCCCTTCTCGGCCAGTCCCAAGCGCACCTTGGAACTCACCAGACTGGCCCTCGCCGGAGAAGAGGCGGCCGCGGCCGCTTGATGTGCTTGTGAATTTGTTTTCAAAAAATCTTGAAAAAGAGCCTTTCAAGGGAGATTTCTGCAGGACCTGCTGGGCCCTTGTCCCGGTCTGGACCTGCCTTGGCCCTGCCACGTGCGCCGGGTGTCCGGCCGGGCTGGCGGCGGTGGGCAGTGGGCCGCAGCTGCCTCCTCTCAGGAGAGCCCAGTCCCCTCTGGGGTCACAGGGTCACCAGGATGCTCCAGCCGCCCTGCCCCCAGATGCGTTTGGACATGGCCTGCAGGGTAGGCTCATGATGGGGGCCCAGGTCCCCCTCTGGCTGCCCAGAGGGGACCCCCCAGGCTGGAGTGCTCTGGCAGGCCCGTCCAGGCCCCAGCCACTCTTCAAAGCCCCCCCAGAGCCGCCCCTCTAGCACGGAGCTTGCGGGGAGCCTCGCCGCCCCAGCTCGTGGACTTTGAGGACTGAGCCGTGATTGGCAGACGGCAGTGCCCCCATCAGCCCGCATCGGTGGCTGCCCCTGCCTGCGTCCCCACCTGGCTGCCCCACGCTCCACGCTCTGCCGAGGCAACCCTATGCTCGCCGCTCTCTCCGCTGGCACAGTGGCAGCGGCATGCCAGCCCCGCCCTGCATGTGCCGCCCACGGGGACCTTCAACACGCAAGCCAGGCGCGTGGCTGCCCCTCACCCCGGCCGGCCCTGGCCTCGGAGGCGCCCTCCTCCTGCCCCTCAGGCACTCGGCTCCAGGCCTCTGCGGTCTGCCAGCCTGGCGGGTGCCCCAGGGTTGGTCCTGCTATGCCAGTGCCGCCCCCGCTCAGGTCGCACCCACCCCTCAGACATGAGGCCGCCCCTGTGTCCAGAGCCTGGGGCGGGCACCCCGTCTGTCTGGGGGCCACCCCAAGGTGCCCCAGAGTGTGCAAAGCACCCCTGTCCTGACTTGCTGCCCCGCCCCACACTCGTGGGAGCTCTGGGGGTGCATGTGGGCACCCCGTGGTGCTCAGGGCCTGCTCCCGCAGCGGTCACCCCCGACTTGGGTGGACAACCACACCGGTGCCTCAAGTGCCCCTGCAGCTGCTCTGTGTGGACATCAGGGCTGGGGGCAGTGGGCTAGTGGGCACAGAGGCAGGGTGCTGCCCACAGCCCCTGCAGGACGGCAGGACACGGGCCCAGGACAGGGGCTCGGGCTGGACCTTTGGGGCTCCCGCCTGTGAGGTTGAGGGGGACAGCTGCATGTCCTACCCACGTCGGGAGCCCTGTGCCCTGCCCAGGGGCCGCCCTGCTGGGGCCAGGCGAGTAGGAATGTGGGGCAGGCTGGAAAAGGTGCTAGAAGCAGATGGGGGCCCCACCGCATTTGATTCCCCCCGCCGCCACGCTGCCCCTCAGGGAGCCCGGGGCATAGAGGCCGGGGACACAGGGTGGAGCGCATGCAGCGGGACTGGATCAGCCCAGCCCGGCCTGGCCGGCGGCGACCTGCACCCAGTGATGGGGCAGGTGGGCAGGCACGCGGCCATCATTCCACAGGCCACTGGCGCTCTGGCCTGGCCGCTCCACAGCCCACGCTCTGGGGCCCTCCCCCAGGCCCAAGTCCAGGAGCCCCGAGCCGCCAGCAGCGTCCCTCAGGCCGGCTCACTGCCCGCCAGCCCTCCCGTGTGCGCCCACCTCAGCCCTGCCTGCGCGACCCTGCAGCCTCCACCGCTGCGGGATGAAGGCAGGCCCCGCCCAGCCCCAAGAGCCTCCTGGAATGGGGGCTGTGTCCACTGTGGCCACCGCCAACCCTGCCCCACAGGATGGCCACACTGTCGCTGCCTCAGGATGCCCCGCTGCTTGCACCCTGTCCCGACCCCTCTGTCCTTCCCGGCTGTTGATGCCAGGGTGTGCCCTCTGCCCACTCCCCCTGCCCGCGGGCCCCCCATTCACGTGCTGCACCGTCTGTGAGAGCAGAGGCCCTGCCAGGCCACGCAGGGCCCCCTCGGTGCAGGAGATGCTGGGCCTCTGTCCGCCCCATGGGGAGGGGCAGTGGTTGCCCAACAGCCTTGGGGGGTCCCCGACGTCAGGGACAGAGGCTCCTGTGTCCACGATTGGGCTCCCCCAGGCCTGGGGCTCAGGGAGGAGCCAGCCCGAGGGCTCCCGTGGCTTCTGGGCCCTGCTCTGGCCGCCTCTGCGCCCCCAGCGTTGGCCGCGTCTTCGTTTTCGCCCCGGCCTCTCAGCCCCCCGGTTTCCCTGCTCGGCCCGGGAGCCTGTCCTTCCTTGGGACCCTGGCTCAGTCCCCGCTGTGGACGCCCGTGAGCACACGCCGAGTGGCCGGGGCCCACGCCCGACCTCTGCGCCCGCAGCCTGTTCATGGCTCTTTGGAACGAGCTTGTCGACGCGGCTTTGCGGGGTGCGTGCTCGTTGGGAACGTTCGCCCTAAAAACATTTCCAGGAAAGGTCCCCCTCCCTGGGTGCTTCCTCAAGCAGAGGTGCTCCCCCCGCCCTCTGCAGGCACCGGCCCCTGCGGGCCCCGCAGGGCGGGCAGCTGAGTGCAGGCGTCCGGGCTGTCTCCTCACACGCGGGCCGGCCCTGGCCTGGGGGCACAGAGCGGCGTCCACTCCCTCTGTTCTAGGTACGGGTACCGGGCACCAGGCCAGCTGCCTTTAGGAGCTGACCGCCTGGGCTGGACAGGACAGAAAACAAGTCAGCACAAGAGCCACGGGCACCAGGAGGGTGGGGTGTCCGCAGCAAGGGGCCCGGACCGTCACGTAGACACTCGGGGGCAGAGGTGGCCGCAGTTCACGGGGGAGGGCGGCCCGCACAGCGGCAGGCACAAAGGGCTGCGGCCTGGACTGGCGGGGGACGCCTGCACCCTGCTCTCTCAACTCTGGGGTCCCCCATCTTGCTAGCCTATAAACGGCCGGGCTGGCCTCAGTCCTACTCTGCCATGCTCCTTGGTGACCCCCCCATCCCTCTCGCGGCCTCTTGTCCAGCCGAGTCCTGCCTGAGGCCTCCAGTCCAAACCTGGTTTTGCTGAGCTGCTCACTGGCAGGTCTTGGGGTGCTCCTGGACCCTGCTCTCCCAGCCTGCTCCTCCATCGTCCCCCTCCCAGTCAATGGTCAGCAGAGGCCTGAGGTCACCCCGACTCCTTTCCCTTACACATCTCTGATCCAATCACGGAGGCACCCAACACAGCGAGGCAGGTGGGGTTCAGGGCCTAGCGGTCACCTGCGGTCCACAGGGGAATACCTGCCCACAGAGGCCTGGACTGGCAGGCAGAGTGCCGGAGTGGCAGTGGGGGGACAGTAGTGGCCGAGGGCCCAGCAAGCCCACAGGGAGCTGGAGACTCCCCATCCCTGCAGCCGCTGCTCTGGCAGAGCCCCAGCACATCCCGGAGCCCTAGAAGTCTCCCTCTGCTTGCCCATGGCCCCTGGGGCTCCAGGAGAGGGCAAATGAGGCCAGGACCTCCCC